AGTGTTGTCTTCCACTGAAGATGCGAAGCTACTCAAACCAACATCTTCAATATCATCGTCATAAAAATGCCTCAACTGCTCCTCTAGTTATAGCTCATTCTTCTGCTGGTAATATATGGACTCGGAAAGGGCATATTTCTATCCACCGGTCCTAACGGTACTAATCTGAGAAATGTCTTTACCACGAAGTGCAGATACCCGACCACAGAGCCCCTGCACAATGTGTTAATGTACAACTGGAAAATCAACACCCATCAGTACTCTAATCCAGGAGTCATCCAGATTCTGAACCCGGAAGTCAGACAGCTGTGATCACTGATCTGCTACTTTAATAACGGTATACGGTAGTAGACGCAATGGAAAACGGGTTAAGAAATTAGCTAGCCTCACGGCAGCTGCTTCACTGCCGTCAACGATGTCAATCGAAAACCAGCGACACCGGATTTAAAAGAGCTAAGATCACTCACAGTTTGCATTTTCAACAAAGCATGGGTTCTTTCCACACAGCATCGCAATACATTTTTCTGGATCTAGCTAATGTCAGACCCAGTGTCCAGTAAAATATTACGTTTCAACTGAAGATAAGGAGCCATCGAAGAATACGAGCACAATTCCATGAGAGACTCTTCCGGATTCAGAAAAGATGGCATCGCAACTGACACGCGGTAAAATTCTGGTCCATAATGTATTTGCAGTTAAAAAGCATAACAAACATCACCTTAATGTTTGGCCGGCTTACGCGTGCCTTTTTGAATGAGGAGACCCTTTTCCCACCCATTGCGATGACTGCACCTTCGTTTCAATATCGTGATTATAAACCCAGGTCTCATCGTCTGTTATAATATTCTCAAGATATTTTTCATTGTCTTTGACATTGGTGAGCAGCTCCTGCCTTATTTCAGCACGGTTCTGTAACAGATTGCCAATCAATAAAGGCGAGACGAATTTTGCACTTACAAGATGCATAAGTTTTTCACTTAAAAGTCGCTAGCTTGCTGCTAAGCAGGTGCCCACCACTCGAAAAGTTAAATAGCGATTTCCACAGATCAAAGCACGAAATTCTCGACATGCTTATCATCTGTTGATGTGGAAGGTCGTGCTTGCTTAGCGTCGACCCCGACTAACATATTGTCTTGTTCATAATACGTAAACCACTTATGGCACTGCGTGCGACTCATACAATCCTTCCCGTACGTTTGGCTAAACCATTGAAATGTCCCTTTAAAAGTTTTGCCAACTTTGTAGTACGAGTTCACCCACAAATACACACACCCACCCACACACACGTTGTTCTACAAACTCGTTCACTTTCTCTGCTTATGCACATGCTTACTTCAGCGGCTGTATCTCACCAATAGTCAAACCGAAATGCCTCAAATGAAAGTGCGTTGCCTTGATAACCTACCTCATAACATCATGTGAACAGCCACCCAAAAGAGAAGGTGGTGTTCCCCCACTCATCTCAGTGAATGGATGTGCTCGCAACGCTGAGGAAGCAGTCACTGCCATAGGGCTACGATATGCTTCAATATATTTTCGCACCATCTGCAAATGTCTCATACATGTCCTATTCCTACAGACGCTAGTATTTTTCACCAATCGTATATTTTGCGCAACGACTTGTTAAGCGCCGGTAGTTCTTTCAGAATTTATATTCATTGGTGATGGTAGCTGTTAGGAAAGCTGAGCCATTTACTCGATTCTTTACAAGATGTCTTGATGAAAAGCATGTTCCTAAAGGGTGGATTCAGGGAATCCTTATCTTGATTCTTAAGAGTGCTAGCCGTGTAAAGCCCGATACTAGTCGCCCAGTCATGCTGTTCCCAGTGCTTTCAAATTTTATCTAGTCAGTCATCGCGTATCTATTAATTGACTAACAAGATATTTAATATTACCAAATATCAGAAACAGGGATTTAGTCAACTCCAATCTTGTACCACTAACCCAATGATTACACGTGTTAGAACGAAGTAGCGGATGCTGAGGCCACAAAGGATGCCATGTACCTCGATTTTTCAAGGCGCTCGGCCGCTTTTATTACCGCATCTCTTTCTATAAGCTGCAAATATGATATCAGGAACCCAATCGCTGAAGAGAACGAGAATTTCTTTTTTCTTAGGTAGCCTCAGGTTTGGATTCGGGGCTCATTTTCTGACCTACTGATGTGGACCGCCGTGTTCCCCAAGGATCAGTTTCGGAGCCGTCCTTATTCTTGGTCTACGAAAGCAAACTTTCTATCGTCATAAATTCTATTTGCCTCTGTCTTCCCGATGACATCGAGATTTGGCGCCCGATCGGCAATCATACATGTCAATAGCTGCTGCAACCACACATAAACAGTGCTTTTGAATGGTCAAAGGTAAATCCAATTCCGTACAACGCGGGGAAGTGTCAAAATATACATTTACGCCGCTAGCCGACTAACAAATATGGGCTTTGTTGTCGCGACTTGAGGAACACCTCACAAAAGTGTTACTTTAGGTTGAAGATCCACGACAATCTCGGCTGTTTGGAACGGTCAATAAGGATGTCGAAAACCGCTAACTAACCTGTCGGTTTTTATGACGTAGGTTCGGGTGGTTTAACCTGAACTTCATCTTTGAAACATTCAACGCATATTTGTGACTACTTGTAGGAAAAACGAACAAGGTCTGGCAACACTACCAAAACGCGAGTGGGTTGCACCGGAGCTCCTACTGCGAAGGGCAAAAATATTGTGGAGTTATTGTATCAACCACCATAAAATCTATTATATAAATCCCCAACATGGTACAAGCGAAGTTATCGCCGTCTTCTTGGCGACCTATTTCTGAAGTTTCATAATTTAAATAACCTCTTGAATCCTGACCAAGATACAACATTTAGTGGTCACCAAGTGCACTGGACCACCAACACAGCCGAGTGAAATGTCGCATTAACTGCTTTGCTCTACAAAAGTGTCAATCATGGAAGCCCTTTTCGACTTTTATCAATTCTGCGCCCACGCTACCCGTTGTTAAAAAAGACTTTTGCGATGCACTACGCCATCCGCATCATATGACTTGAAATCCGTTCGTTTATTAAAGACAAGATGCAGCAAAACACTGTGCTCACCAACCTCATGAAATCGGGATAAATGGAGTTACTTGCATGTTAGCTTGGATATTATAGTGTGTCCAGAGATGCGCGTTTCACTTTTATGTCACTTATTTTGAACCTATTCATTTCACACAAACCATCCCACGGGACCAGTCAAGCGCTGGATTTTTACTCATCTAATAGGACTGCCATTTTTTTCCGCTTTTTTAAGTTCAAGTTCCACATTCATAAGATCAAATAACATATTCCTTCGCTATTTTAATCCGCAGGTCTTTGGATTGGTTTCACCGTTGGGACTGTGTCACAGGCGATCGTTTACTGTGCTATCTGCAGCTGCGTTGATTGGAAGAAACAAGTGAAAATGGTAATTTGTTTCCAATATTTATTGACTTAACTTATAGTCGATCGTTAAGGCTCAAAATCCTTGTAGGTAGTTATTAACAGTAGGATTGGATCCACAGAGAAAAACAAGGATATAAAAATTCTTCCCTAATAAATGATTTTGTAGCTACCGTTTTTCAACGGAATTTGACTTTTGAGATTTTAAAGAAATTTCATCAATCGAACTTCACAGAAAAGCGACCAGAACGAATGTTTTGGCAGTACTGTAACTTAGAGATTATTACAAATAATTTCAAACTATCACCAAGATTGACGTTCCGGAATGGATAGTTATGAGGCAGCACTAGACTCTTATTTTATAATTATTTCTGGAGAGACCTCTTTCAAAATAGGTTTAGAATTCGAACAGATCGATTTGACGATATAGTTGCATAGTTAACTCTGCTTGGCAATTTGGTTGCAAACGTCTCGCCAACAATCGAGTTGACATCATCATAGCAGGCTTGGACGTAGCTTAGTTGCAGAAGCTCGCAGCTGGCAGTAACCTGTAGAATAGATGCCACAAGTTACTGTGGCGGTCCTTATAATCTATGCCGGCGAAATTAGATGCGTTCTTCCTGATTGGCTCTACGTCGAGGTATTTAATGGGGCTGATTGAATCTGGTTGGCTTTGGATATAGTGTTCGGACGTGCTGGAATCCTGGCAGTGCCCTTGTCTTTCTCCGATTGTTGGTTTATCGTGGATCTCAATAGGATTTTTTAGTTTTGATTAGCCGCAAGTATAGTGTTGAGATCCACGCAGTTCCTTTTTCTTTTTCTGTTCGTTACATCCTGATTGGCGGTTCATTTTTGAGCTTATTGTGGTAGATAGATTCGGAATGGCCGCAGGTATAATGTTGAGGTCCATGCAGGTCCTCTGAATATTTTTCCGTCCATTCATCCCGATTGGCGGTTTATGTTGTGGTCAGTGGGGTAGATTTATTCTGACTGGATACAGGTTGCGACGTATTGAAATCCTGGCAGTGTTTTTTCCTCAGACCCCTCATCCTGAATGGCAGTTCATCGGTGAGCTCACCGATGAACATTACACCTGCATCCAGTCAGAATCCGTCTATTCCACGGAGTTCAAAGATGAACTGCCAATCAGGATGAAGCAAACTGAAGAAGACAAAGGAAGTGCGTTGATCTCAACCCTATACTTGCAGCCATACAAAATCAATCAACCATATTAAGATCCTCAATGAACAGCAACTCGGAGGAAGACAAAGCAACTGCGAGGATTTCAACCTAACAGCATGCTATAACTACAGGCAATCAGAATCAATCCATCCGATTGAATACCTCGATATACGGCCAATCAGGATGAAGAGCACCTAAAGTCGACAGCACAATTAGGCGGATTGGCGCAGTAACACGTAGCATCCACTCCACGGCTTATTCCTGCTACGAGTTTCCGCAAACAAGCTACGTCCAAGCCTGCCTATATTGCTACCAAATTGCTAAGTTCGACGAACAACTGAGCAACTAAAGCCTAGCTTTTAACGCTGGTTTTGTATTCTCTTATTCTCTGCCTCCCATAGGCACGCGAGAGGACGCGAGACGTTCGGTTGGCAATTAAGGATGAAACAACGGTAGATGACTGCATTTCATCAAACTCCATGTCGGATCCCCATGATGATAGTAAGTTAATGCTTTTACTTTAAAAGATTGGCTAACGAGACTGGGAATGAATTTATAGCGCTTCGGTCGTGCGCTATCTATAAGGTTCACAACTAAAAGGTCAAAGAAAAACGAGCAGAACTACACATGAAAATGAACCGAATAGGTTTATTGAGAGGTGACCAAAATAGCTGTTTTAATCCTTAAGCATGACAAAAGAAGAGACCTGGGTGGGAAACATGTAAACGGCGCTGAGTGCGAGGTTGAGCGACAGTCTCAAGTCGCGTCCCTTTCGTCGCAGGGCATATACGTGTGTTTTCCGTGTGACTCAGCCAAAGAGGCGCAATCTGCAAATAAACAAACAGCTTAATTCCCAATATCTAAAAGGGAAACAATTTTAAAATAATATGTAACAACTTATACAGTCAAAAGTGGGCATTTCCAAGTCACTACAAGCTATCTCCATACTTAATGTTGCGGTTAGACATTAGTAAACATATAGCGGGGAGGTATCTCCAACTGTGTTAAACCGCGATGTTGTGCGCTCTTTGATGAATTTATTAAGCATGCATCACCAAATAACACCCTCAAGCATTTGGCTAAATCATATCATTTCCATCACATGTTACTCGCGCAAAAGTAGAAAACAGAAGGTTGCCTGAAGTTTATCTGTCTCACAGGCCATCTCAGTAACCCAATTAAACGATATTACCTCTAACCTGAATCGTTATCTAGGCTAAACTCGTGAGTCACAATTAGCTTGCAATTATTCTACTAATGTGTACGGTGCTTCCGTGTTGTTGCTTCCAACACTGGCAGTCCAAATGCGGAGTTGATTTTATTTGGACTCAAGAGGTAGGTAGCCATATCTACAGTGTCATTGTTGGAAGCAACAGTATTGATATCACTGTATTACGGACATGGTCCTACTTATTGGAATGAATAAGCTTTACTTCAAAGGATCCCATTGTCTCAATTAACACTGCGTGATGCAATTTAAGACACACGATGGGTACTCCAAACCTCTAACTCTAGACGGCTAATAAGCATTTTTACTGGTTCTACTGGTTTTCAATTGTTAAAATTAGTGTGGCTGTCAAGATTGTGTTGTATATATCAGGCGATTAGTACTGAGCAGTAAGTTAGACCCATAACCTCTCCTCCAAACTTGCACGTCCCCTAATAGAAAACGGACACAGCCAAGGTAACCACTGGTCGCTCATCGTTTGGACCGCATAAAAGCTAAGCCGGATTGCTGCCGATGGATAAAGTGCTCTTCCACGTTTACCGGTCTGACGTGTTTAATGCGATCACAAACTTAAGCTTTTGTTACCGATAAGTGTAGTTTGCGCACTGCCCGTTTTTCCAGTATCTGCTGTTGACATTCAGGTCGGCAAAGAAGAGGGAAACTAACAGACCAGTGCATAAAACTCGAACACACACGAAACACATGAAGCCATTTCGGTCAATTCTTATTAAGCTATATCTAAAATACTGTCGAACTCCCAAAACTACAAACAGACATTATCCACCATCTCACAAAACCTGTGTCATGGGTCTGAGAATCATGTGGACATACTACTTGTACACTCACCATGGCATTAGAATACGGGCTTCGTAATGTAGAATCGCCATGTTACTTCCCCCGTTTCCTTTTGCAATTTCATTGTAAGTTATGTATTATTTGTGCTTAGGCAGACAGATGTATCCGTCTTAATTGTTGAGGTATTTAACATATTTACCGGTTGTTTATCTCGACTCACGCCGTTCCGTAAATGTACACGCAGATATGTGCTCAACCACCGGTCCGTCAAATCAGCCGACCAAAAAGGAAACACTATCGAAGATCGTCAGAAAATCACCAATTCCATTCCGGATACTATTTGGATTCATCCTGATTGTCTTGTTAGTGACAAGTGTTTGCCTCCGACAATTCCTCCCTTGGTCAGACTACTTCGGGTGCTATTGTGTTTTCCCCAACGACACATTTATTCGCTTCTCCAGCCGTAATTCTGTGCCAACAAACTGTTCCCTAGTCGTCCCAGGAACTTCACCTTGAGCAATTGTGTCTTGGCCAAAGTCGTTCATTGTCTCATAAAATCGATGAAACTGTTTAACTTCCCACATCGTGCAAAAACTGTTTAGGTTTAATACAAAATTTAGTTGCCTTGTTTACCTCATTTTCCTCTGTCACAAGGCGGAGTCTGCAACCACTATTTCACAGGCCGTCTTTCAGTAAGATCTAACTTCGTGCACTCTCTCGTTGTCCAGTGTACGATCAATTCATATGTTCGTGACTACTCTACAACATTCACTCCCATCTATTGTTTCTCTGCTGTTGCCTGGAGTAGAATATCCTGAAGTTTGAAGCGAGCATTCAACACGACTTCAAAATATTCACTTTCCGATTGATGAATTAAGAGTGCTACGTAGCCGGTTGTATTAAGTTGAATAGGATAATTGATGGTAAAACACTTTATACCTTCGTGTTTTCTCTTGGAAGCGGTAATGCTTGCAGAGCTAGAACAGACTACACTACCTATCATTTGGTTGGTGGCAGCAGTTAGTGTATGCCGAATTTTGACAAGAGTCTTCACGACATCAGCTGAGCTGATTCTCTTAGGAGTAACTAACTCGCATAATATTAAGATATTATAACCTTCCAAAGCTCAAGTGTGAATAAAGATTATACTGAAGCATGAAAAGTAAAAAAGGACCTCCAGATAATATATACAAAGGAACTATTTTGATTGATCTGTGTTCACCATAAGGACACAAATAAGATTATCTATTAAGGAAACTAGGGAAAAGTGTGCTCCCTCATACAACAGGTAGCACATTTATGTACACCCCAACCTAGGAAACGTTCAACTGTAGGATTCCTTTGCTGTGTTTACCACTACCTATTACCGTAACCCTCTCATTGTTTTAATCCAAAATTGACCTGCTCTGGCTCACGATTTTGCCTCAGTGACCCAATATCAACTCTGTTCTGTGATCATTTGAAGTATAAGGATTTGTCACACCACATTAAATCATTCACACGACAATCTAAACAAGATCAACCTCTCTACACATGATAACGCCCGTAGTATAATTGATGCGCTCTATCGCTTCAGTATATATTCCTTGGCGTCGTTTGGACACAGAGGATAGAGCATGTTTTATTACACTGACATGCAAGCAAGTGCATTGTTGGTGACTATACAATATTTCGAATCCTACGGGGGCGTAGTTATTGTTGGAAACCATTTTATTCGTGCAGCTTCAATGTTCCCGTTCCCCATTTTCCATGTACAGGTAAACGCTTACGATTCCAGGCCATCGGTGTGCACTGCAAGCAAGCCACAAAGCCCAAGAAAATGGGCAGCATTTTGTTGATTTCTAAACGACATTAATTGCGAAATCGCTAATTTGTACATATATGTGCCTAGAAGCCGTATCTGTTGACGATTTAGAATGGACTGAGATCGTTGATTCGGACTTGTGCGGACGCACAAATTACTGACTTAGTTTGTATGTTATGTTTCGAACTGTTGTCAATAGTGCCGGTTCACAAATCCAGTTTGTTTTGTTAATTCCGATGGAAACGCATTCGGTCAAGGATTCTAAACGTTCTACCGCTTACAATTCCGCATTGTGTGTACATAACTATCCGAGACAGTTTACCACCATATCCAGACTAACTGACTAAGTGGACCACGTATTTGCTTATTAGGACCTTCAGCGCGTAAAACTAATCGATCTTGCCTTCTGTAGTTTGAGCATATCTCTAATTTGGCCACGTCGAATCGGTCCCTTGAGTGGTCACCTAACGTAAGTTCTACTGACATATGTTTCCGCAAGGTAGTGCTTTCTAATTCAAGGAATGTAGCAAAACCGACGTTTTGAAGATAATTTTAACATACTTAGTTGTTTAAAATCATTTAAGAAGTCAGAATAATCGGCATCATTCCCAGACCATTATCGACGGTTTCAGTCCAACAAGACCGAGCAAGTAGCAGATTTTTGAGGCAAAGCAGGTTATGCTGAACCTACTTTGTTCTACTGCAGTGATTTGCATTTCGCCAACTGATCGGTGACAACTTATGCCATAATGGTCTCTATGCTCGCGAAAAGTACCAAAAGGAGAATTATGAGCATGTAGTTGACCGGATCTGGAAGATTCACCTTCGTTGATATGAACAACAGTTCATTGGTTCCACATCGTGGAAACCAGCAATTTTTGAAGCAACGCTGGCAAAACTGATATAACGGTTTGGCAAAATGCGTGGTAGCCAATTTCAGGACCTTTCAGTGGTTACGATCTGCGATGACAGATATACGGGTGCAGTGAGAATAGCCTCTTCCGAACAAAAGTCGGTTCAGCCAAATTTATGACTACCAAATTGAGTGAACTCAAAGAAATGGAACAATGGTGCTTGCCTGTTGGTATAAAATGATTAATAGGTTTCGTCGATTGGTAATGGAATGAATGGCAAATTTGAACAGAAACAAGTGGACAATTGAAATGTCCAAGTATGGATAGAAAGTTCAGGGACACACTATGAGATTTTCCCATCAATTTCAGCCCTAATGCAATTTCTTTCATATGTTACCCTTTCGCTTTCGTCCGTAATGCAGAAAAATTAACCCGATACCCATCTAAATGTAATCTAAATCGGAATGAGTAGTCGGCCGTAACTGACCAGTGACGTATCGATGCGCATACATCACCTGTGTACGTGCGTAACATGGGGGTGCCGACGAGGCACCCTGGCCAATGAAAAAACCTGTGTGTGCCATGCAGTGTAGGCTGTCTGATCGCACTTTGTGAGCGTGTCTATTCGAGTATGGTACATATGGGCAGCACAGGCGGGTCACACCGTGCGGCAGACACGCCCGGGGTCCAATAACGTGGCAAAGACGAGAAGTAACGTTGGAGGCAGGGAGTGGTCACATTTACTCGTACATGGCGGGAGTTGCGGGTTCTGATCTATGCACACGAGAGCTGCAGGTACCGCGGACACAAATGTTACGCATGCTGCAAACAAACAATGCAAGCATCGAACGGAGTGTGTTCTTGGTTGACCATGTCCAAACCACGTGTTCCTTGTGCTCAGGAGCGGTGCAAGAAAGCAGTGGTATCACGAGTATCCATTTTAATGTACAAATCCCTTGTTAAATCCAAGGGTGAACCGCAGCAAGGCTAATTCTTTGCTTCTAATAGATTTGATCAAAAACCCATATATCTTTCCTCCAACGTGAACAGAGGGTGGCGCACGAAATGTTAAATCTTTTGTTTGGTTTATTACACATGTTATATTATATAGTTAATGTTAAAATCTCGTATTCCTATACCTTGTTTTATGCAAAATCCGCTAAATATCAGTAGGAGTTTGTGTTCAATAATGTATTGGCGCCATACACGATTTTCAAGATGGCGCATAAGAGTAACTCGAGTGTTAAACAGAAGGTGAACATGTACTGTTTATTAAGGAAACTAGGAGTTTTGTAACTTTATGTAAAAAGACTAATCAGAGATTGCATCATCACTTTGAGAGTACTGGCTCTGTGGTAGAGACGAATCGATGGCGGAGACCAAATAACCGCACCCCTGGAAACATGGAAGCAATTTGCGTCGCTTTGACACAAAGTCCTAACAAAACAACAAAAGGACTGCTGCTGAGTTAGCAATATCTCGTCGGTCTATACAATGGATTCTGCATTCTGATTTTCAGTTGTTCCCTTACAAGATAACATTTATCCAAAAATCAACAACAGAGGACAAGCAAAGAAGAATTCATTTCGCTTCATGGTTAGTGCAATAGGATCATGTTTTTTACAGCACGTTTTTTAATCGAGGCGTATTTACATTTGAATGGTGTAGTGTATAAGCAACAGGTTCGTTACTAGTCAAGTGAACATTCTCACATTTTGCACGAAATTGAAAACTATGAAGCAAATATCAGCGTATGAAAAGCAATGTGATCCCATTGGATCATCGGAACCTTTTTTGAAGGGACGGTAAATAAAGAGCAATATAAGGAAACGTTGGAAAACTGATTTATTCCAGAACTCTTAGCAACAAATATCTCATCACAAACTCAATGGTTCATGCAAGGCCGAACCAGACCACACACCACAAATATTCTTGAAACCGTATATGACATTTTTGTTTGGCTGGTAATGAATATTGCTTACTTGAACGCCACTAAGCTGAGAGACCGTGACCCCCGCATAGCCCTGACATCAATCCATATGATTACTTCTTGCGAGACAACTTAAAGATAATTTCTATGCAGGGAAGTTTGTAAGTGGAGTCCAAATCAGGGCTCTCATCATGCAGTTGTGTGGTCTAATTTCAGAAGAGTTTTGAAGGAAGGTTGTGACGAAAGTTAAGGTTTGCTTGCAGGAGGTTGTGAAACAAAATGACGGTCACGTTAAACACATAGGACATTCAACGAAATTACCGTGTTCATACAATTAATTCGGCACTAATTTTTTTAATAGTTTGTGGAGAAATACATGTGCAATGGAAAAAGAATTGGTATGACAATTCGTGCGCCACGCAGTAGTAACCGTGTATCTGATCCACTCAGGAATCCATCGGTTTGTTAGAATGCAAAACACACTAATGGGAGCACAACGAAGTTGTAGTGCACTCTGTGTTACAGTATGGACCAGAGATATATTCATGTATATCAACTATAAAATAATGAACATACCTGTATTAATGACATTAGTAATAATGTAATCAGGATAGATTTATAATGGCTTCATTTGTCAGTCGCCTACCTATACCGGTACAATACGGATGTACAGCCAAACCTGAGTAATTTTGTTTAACTTTGCTGGGATACCTTCAGTACATTTTCAAATTGATATCGCCTGAACTTTGGAGGATAAAACGCTTAGCTACAGTAGCAGACATTAAAATCTGCTAGCTCATAAGTACTTGTCGAACGTAGCCCATGGATTTCCATATATTTTGCTGGCCGGACGTTTGGCCCGGCCGTATGCATTGCTCGCACAACAAATCACAGACATCTTTGGTAACCAGTATCTATGGTATACGTC